GACATCCATTGTTCCGGAGCCTTTATGAGTAGGATCAACCTAGCCCCAGGGAGCAGACTGCCCATGAGCAAAACCTGGTCTGTCTGACAGGAACTAACCAGATCAGCGTCAGAAGAAGCAATGGAAGCAGACCTCCAGTTCCTACGAATCATCCCGGAAATGCAGGCAGAGATCAACAAACGAGTGAAAGAGAATCAAGCTTTCTGCATTAAACCGACTCCAAGTTGCCAGAAGACTTCAGGCTCTGGAGGAGAACTGGGAGATGAAAAGGAAGGAGAAGCACGTGAACAGTCTCTACTGAGCCCTCATGCCGCTGTTTCCACTGACACAACAACAGCTGTGAGGAAACGCCAAGGTACCAAACATCTATAGCCCCTGCACACTGTGCCCATCTTTGTGATACTGTGTTTCTTACCTCATGGAGTGTTTCACCTGTCACATAAGTGCGCAGGCTGGTATTAACAGGGTGGGCTTCCTCTTTTTCTTACTGGTAATTAGTTTTGAATTCCTAAACAATTGCTTCTTTAACATCTTCAAGTTACATTTTAGCGACATTAAAACTACTTTCAGATGTGCCAGGAAAGATAAGAACAAAAGGTTGCAGAAATAAGTCACATTAAGAACAATGTGTTTTCTTCTTCAACTTCAACCATTTAAATTCTCCTTAATAGAATACTGAGTGTGTATCTGTCAGATGCTCATTTGCCAAGCTGGAACAGCATTGCAAGATAGGTAAGTAAGTATATGGATATCAGAGTCAGACAAACATGGCTGCCAATGATGTCGTTTTTTATCCATGTTACAAAGAGTTTTACTGTCCCGTGTGAGTGTATATTACACATAATTCAACCTGCCATACAGACTGAGGACTTCAAGATTCAAAGTCAATGTGTGATATATTCTAAAGATCAAATCTCTGAAGAGAGTATATATAAACTCTGAAATCAGCAGAGCAAAAAAAAAATCTGCTCAACAGTTAAGCTTGCCTACAACAACATATTCAAACAAAATTGATATACATAATTAACTACTCAAAGCTCTTAATATCATCTATCAAAGGCTTCCAGCAATGCCACTGAGAGGTTCGAACAGCTTGACAGTGGGACATGTCATATTTGCCCGTTGTTGGTTCTTTCTGTTAGATATGTTTCTCTCTTTCTAGAACCCTACATTGCGTAGCTAAAAACATTTCAGTCAGGGTCTGTCCATTTCAAGTACAACTCTAGATCTGATTAATTCTGTCCACTGGAAACTAGAACTTCTCCTAAAGGAAACTGGAACTCCTGAGATGGGGAAAAAAGGGAACAAACTAAACTATGGACTTTTGCTATATGTCCCTATTGAGGGTTTCTCAATCTCTGCATTACTGACATTTTAGATTAAATAATTACTGCAGAGGTCAGTACTGAATATTGTAGGTGTTTTAGCAATTTCTGTAGCCTCAAACCACTCGTTGCTGCCACACCTTTATCCTTCCAGTTACAATGATCAAAAATGTCTCCAGACATTGCCAAATGTTAGCTGAAAGACAAAATAATATTGATCATCCATCCACCACTGAAAGCCACTGATTTCCTTCAAAGGTAAACAACACTTCCCAAATCTATTTTCTATAATGCTAACTGAAGGTAACTGGCCTGAAGCTCCCTGAGTTACATCAAATTGCTGACCAGGGCATTTTCACATAAAACTGAACGGATTAAACTAGATGTCTTCCAAGGACTTTTCCAAAGTTAAAATTCTTTGATTCTATGAGTGTAACATCCTTCTAGGATCACTCTCCTCACCTGTTCAGTAGGTAGACGTGTATTAACTTTTAAAAAATAAAAACTATCGAGGAAAAACTTATTTTTAAGGCTCAAAAAAAATAGAGTGCTAGAAAGTATCCTATAGGGCTATGGAGAAGATTAGAGGAAATACTGCAAATAAGACTCAATATCATTGAATATGTACAAAATATTATTACCTGACTTGAGTATAAATTTTTATTAATAGTTTAACAATATATTGCAACACCAATGGAAATTTACACTTGCAATAAGATCATACTACTCTCCTAGGAAGGAATTTTGGAGATCATCCAATAGAAATGCCCTTATTTTATATTCAGAATATAAAACGCAGAGAAATTAGTCAGTTTGTCAATCCTTCTGAAAATGTAAATCTATCCTTTGAGAAATAATGATGTGAAATGATGTCCCTTTCCTTAAGAAAGGAAACAATTTAAAAAGGGTTTGGAAGTAAATTGCTTAGAACTAAAAGTTTTTCCGCTTGTTCTTTGATGTTTAGTTAAAAAAAAAAAAAAGAAGTGTGTGTGTGACAATTTATAGGTGAAAAAGACACGCCCAATTTACAGGTCTATTGTGTCTTTAAAACCTTTAGGAATTTTTTTGAGTGAGTTTCCTGAAAGGAAAAGAAGCTTAAGTAACTTTGGTGTCTTGAAGCTGCAGGGTTTTTTTAAGGGCAATTTTTTAAATCCCAATTTCTTTGTCTCCTTTTTTTTTTTTTAATGTTTTTCTTTTTTTTTTTGTTTTTATTAAAAAAAAAAAAAAAAGTGTGTGTGTGTGTGTGTGTGTGTGTGTGTGTGTGTGTGTGTGTAGAGAGAGAGAAAGAGAGAAGCCTGCTCCCCCTATAGTTATCTTAGAACACAGAGCAAAGCCACAGCTCAGAACCATAACTGCTATATAATTTTATATAAAATGAAAATACAACAGGCCTGCTCAGAATGGACCCTTGGTGGATAAATGCCCGTGGAAACATGAGTGTGTATGTGAGTAAAACCCAGCAGCACTTTATGGGATTTTCCCTCACTCCTCCTAGCCCATGTGACTGCACCTCGGGTCTCTTAGAGAAGATAAAAGAAGGGAAGATAAAAGAAGACGCTCTCTTCGGGGTGCTCCACAGCATTTCAGGGCCTCTCCTTCTTTCAGTCTTCTCATATCCTCTACTGGCAAATAAACCTCACTTGCAGTTGTCTTTGCAATAGTGTTCACAACCTTGTGATGCTCTACAAAGTATCTCTTCCTTTCCTTGTGTTGATAAGAAACTAAATGATTCAGACTACTGGTGACCCAGGGAGAGGAACAAAGCACTTGCTAATTAGCTGCACTGTAAGTGTGAATCCCAAATCAAAATAAACTTTGCCACCATCAGCATCATTTTGGGCCGGAGATTTAGCTCAGTGGCTGCCTTACAAGCACAAGGTCCTGAGTTCAATCCCAGGTACCAAAAAGAAAAGAAAGAAAAAAGAAAAAGAAAAGGTCCATCAGCATCATTTCCTAGGTTATCTTTCCTAGGATTCTGTATGGAAGAGACTGTTGTATAATTGATTCAAACAGAAACTTTTGTGTTTGTTGATAGTTTTCTTTACATAATTACAGAAGTCAAATATCATGGCCAAGGAAGTATTTAAAGACAATATATGAGCAGTATTTGCAGTCAGTCACTTTAGAGAGGTTTTTAAACTCTCAAGACTCTTATGTAAAATTTGGTCTTCTGCTTTTCCAAGCTATAAAAAGCCAAGATATCCTCCAAATTTTCTCAGTGGTTGGCCATATGATTTTTGTCTGCCTTCTTCAGAAGGGTGATATAATTAAATAAGAAACACCAGTGGTTCTGAGACTCTGATACACAATGCATGATGTTTTACGCTGCATGCTAGTTAATAGCAAAGCTGTGATGAAAAAAAAAGGAAAGAAAAATACTCCAGAAAATGAGAAGCAACCCATGAGGTCAACGCTGTTGACCACACTGGTAATAACTAGATATCTATGTAGAGGTCTAATGAGATGATGAGATCGCAGGGTTAGGGCACTGTGAGAGCTGGGAAGAGACAAACCAAGACCCCATGAAATAAAGTTGTTTTAATCAAGGTTCTTTAGTAACAAAGAACAGGGACAATTTGGTTGGATCTCAACGAAAGAGTCCATTAGAACATTCTTAGGGTCAGAAATCACACTGAGAGCCCTCGGGAACTAAAGCCAGGAATCTCTCCATCTGGCCCAGGACCACCACAATTGCCCACAGGCATCTGCCCTTCGGTCCACAGGTCTCTTTGTTCTCACTTCTCATTCAACAGGTTTCTGTTCCAACCAAACCAAGACATAGAATAACAGGTGAATTAGAAGCAGCCAGTTGAATGAAAGTGGCCATTCAGGTGATCAGGACAGTGGACAAGCTCATTGTTCCTGAGTGGGGAGTGAGGTGGACATCACTGACTCTATCTGTTCCTTGTTGTTCCAATTTTAAGGCCTTGCTTCTTACCTATTTATTATTTTAATTGTACATATCTATGGCCTATAGTATCAAAATGTGACACATTTATTCCATGTGTAATGATCAAATCAAGGTAGCATTTCCATCTCCTTAAATATTTTGTCTAGACTTTTGATTAAGACATAGTGTTCATACATGTTTATGGGGTACATGTGATATTTTAGTACATGTATTTAAATGTACTGATGAAGTCAGGGTAGTTAATTTTTTCTATCTCCTTATCATTACTTTGTGTTTGGAACCTGAAAGCTCCTTCCTTCTATTTATCCATGAAGTATACAATAGGTTATTGTGAAGTAATGATGCCCTCTCAGAATTTTCCCTGACCACAACAACTTAAACAATTTCCAAAGCCTTCCTTCCTCTGTATCCTCCACTCTTAGCAGCTTGTCTGTCTTCTTAGAATCTATTACTATCTGAATTGTGTCCAATATTCTTTGTTCATTATGTCTTCCACATAAGATGGTAAGATCTGTGCAATTAAGAATTTTATGTTGTTCCCTCCCACATTCTTGTCTTTTGAAAAGATGCCTGGCACATGGGTGGCACTCAGAACTTGTAGAAGAAATCAATGAACAGATACTCTTTATGCAGCAAATTGGTCAGAAATAATTTTGTTGAGTTAGACGAAACAATGTTCAATAAGATTGTCCCTTTGTGGATGTCATTAAATATAAAAGTTTTGAACATAAATTTTATGCTCCTGTGTAGGCAACATCATGATTGTTAGACGCTACTCCGTTTCTTCACCAGCTCACTCATTTGCCAGAAGTGATCCCTGGAAAACTAGAGGTCACTCAGGAACTAAGGCCATGAATAAACATCCATATAATGGAGTTCTAGAAGCTCGAGAAACAGTTAAATCACTGGTGTGTTCTTCAATTAAAAAACAAGACCATGAAGAAAAGATATTGGCAGAAGATTCTTTCAGCAGCAATGGTTCCAGCCAAAGAGCTTCTCCTGAGGATGGCTTTGGATGCAGGTAATGTTCATTGTACATCCAGGTAACTAACTTCTAGGCATGGGTGCTGAGAGATGTCACCCAGATGAGCAAGGTCTGATCTAGTAGAGGAAACAGAACTGAATAGCACATCAGGCCAAAATCATGTCCATCTCATTTATATTCACTTGGAAAATCAAAAGAAATAAACTTATTTGAGATCAAATGTCACCCTCAAACACATGCCTCTAATAAGCCAAAAAGTCTTCATTATTCAACAAGCATTAATGATCATACTCAGAGCCAGGCATGAATAATAGAAGACTCAGCAATAGTAAGCCACTGTGTTCAAAAGTCTCACTAGGGCTGGGGATTTAGCTCAGTGGTGCTATCTGCCTTCCTCATAGTGAGAGCAGGTCCCAAATTCAATCCCCAGTACCAAAAAGAAAAAAAAAAGACTTTCACTTATAAAAGAGAAACACAGATAAACTGACCAGAACCACAAAGTGCATCTTAAGGTGAAGACATTTTATAAGCTGAGCACAGTAATTCCGTGAAAAGAGAGACTTTTTCTGCAAGGTAGATGATTTAATGGGCTTTAGAGGGCTTTAGGGATAGAACCCTTTAGGGATAACCCCTAAAATAGCTAAGAGACAGTGAAAGCTAACCAGTCTCCAGAGGACATGAATTGGCTGAATCTGGGAGGGATTTGAGAAAGGAGTAGAAAGATAGGCTTGAAGTCTTTAGATGGAAATTCAGCCCTGACCTCTGCAGTGGACAGAATCAAGTCCTCATTAAGAACAAGATTATCTACCTCAAGTTCAGGAATCTAGTCAATGCTTATGAAGTATTTCTCTAAAGCAGAATGTTTTCCATCTTCCATGCTACCAACTAATAAACTACATAGAAATTAATCCATTTCTAACTTAAAAGTTAGTTTAATTTAAAAGACTGGGCCAATAGGAGGATTGTATCAGAAGAGTAAGGTCAGTACTGGCTTAAAACCCACATGTGGGTTGGCATAAAAATCCCATAGACACAGAGAATTGAGTAGAATCTTTACGTTTTTATTGTAATCCTTTTTTCTTTCGTTGCTTATATTCTTATGAGTTAACTAGTAAAGTGACATGTCAATGAACTATTACTTTCATTTTCTGGGAAATTTATTTACCTTCCATAAACTTTCAAATAATTTAATAAAGATCTATGGAGAACCAACTTGTAGGAGCTGGAGTTTGAATCATATCAGATATCATACTTAATGTCTTTGTGAACTTTTCAGTCATTATACCATGACAGTATATTTTTTACAATAATGCCAAAGTCAATATCTGTCAGAACCAAAGCACTCCAGAAACTAGAGTTTGCTGAATGCAGAAACCAGACACACTGCAATAAACATATTCTGCATTTTTCCAAGTCAATGTAATTAAAAAGGCAGCATCTGGGCTCAGATGGCAAAAATCCCAACTCCACTGACTGACAAGATAGCCTTAGGAAGAGCAACTAGTGTGTCTTTTACCAGCGTACTTTTGTGAGGCAACAGTAGTTGCCTCAGAACTATTGTAAAGAATATGTGCAGTAGTCAAATGAACACTCACTAATTGCAAGGGGTCACTTTTATTTTGTTATTCTAACATAAGGAAGCACTGGCCTGCCTTCTTCCTGGGGCATGTGCAGATGGGCTTCCTGGGAGAGAGGCTACCAAATGCCATTCTGTGTAGTTACAGCCTTATCTACCCAAAGAGAGACAAGATTGGAGGAGATGAACTTTTCTTTATCAGTATATCACGATTACATTCCTCATGGGGAGTTGATACATGCACATAACACATGACTTATTCTTAGGAGCAGTTTCTCCTATTAGACAAAATAACGATATAACACTGGAGGTAAAAGAAGAAGGTAGCGAAATGGAAAGCTGCAATCACATAAAGCTAGGCCACTGCGCTATCCCTTGTACCCCCTTGTTTTTCAGGCATGATGGATATTCAGTGAATTTAAAGTCATAAAAACACAATAGTTCTGTTTTAGAACCCTGCTTTAACATCTCTGCTTCTTTTCTGCTGAGATTTGTTGCAAGAACTCTGCCTAAGCTGGGTGTGGTGGTGCGTGCCTATAACCTAGCACTTGGACAGCTGAAGCAGGAAGATTTCCACAAGTTCAAGGCCAGCCTGAGTTACACAGAAAGACTGTCTAAAAAACAAAGAGCTCTTCAGTTAAAATAGTATGATATTTTCCAAGTTCATAATCAATCCTCAGATACACAGCTCCTCCTTCAGTAGTTACAATTTTTTATCAGTAACTCCCACTGCAATTAAATAAAAGGCCAATTCTAATATATATTCTTACATTATTCTTGAATAACTAAACAAAAAGAATGATTATGACACACTAAAATGAATTTTGAACATTGTAGTCAGTCTGTGGTGACTGAGGAAAAAAATGGTAAATGGTATATATTAAGGCCCACTAAAAAGTCTTACTTTTTTCCTCTTGTTTTGCTTTCTATAGAGACAAGATAAAGACGGTCAGTTTCCTGCTACCTGTGGACATGTCTTCGTATCCCAAAAATTTGAGTTCTTTGAAATACTCACCAAATCAGACCAAAAATTCTAGTTCTTTGAAATACTCACCAAATCAAACCACAAACCAGCTAAGTATCATTGCCGAATAGGACATGTGCAGTGCTGAAATTTAAGCACTTGATTCCCAAGAAAGGAGAGCACCAGGTCTAGCTGGGCCAGTGCCTTGGCCTCCCCTGCAAAGATCCCTAGAGAGCTACCTAGTAAGATACCCAGAAGACTCAATGCCTGCTTACCAACCTGCTCACCCAAGGAGTGAAAGTGATTTTTTTTGTTTTTGTTCTTGTTGAATACTAATCTTGTGTAGCAGCCACCCTGGTCTATGTCACATGTGGGGAGTTCACTGTGAGTGTGTGCTAAGTGCCCAGGCTCTGCATTAGGCTGTCAGGAGGTGCTGCACCTCATCAGAAGCATCAGTTTCCAGATGAAGCTATACCAAACTTAGAAAAAATAGTTGCTTTTGGTTAACAGCACAAAAGCCATGATCCTTGTAGTTCACTGTGTTGATAGCTCCCTGCGATGAGCTCACTTGGTCTGTAACAACCCGTGTCGTGAGCATGGGAACATGAACACTAGCTAATATTAGACTCTCAGAACCACCACAGGCTGGCTAAGGGTGAAGACATTACACCTGACTGGCAAGAGAGAAAAAACATCTCACACCATCCTTACTAAAGTGTTGAGAATCCTCAGAGCACCCAACTTCCCGGGAGTCTAGTCAACGTCCTATCTCCCCTTCCTGCTTTCAGCAGCTGTATTTCTAATACAGACTTATGCCATTTTGAAACAACATTCTCTGTTAAAATTTCCAGAATGTTCCTTAGCCCCTTCTTGACCTACAAGGCTGGCCAGGGAGATTGCAGGAAGTCAGAGAGAAAGCCGGGAATTTCTCTTTTTATTTACTTACTTACTGTGGTACTGAGGATTCAACCCAGGGTGCTCTACCACTGGTGCTCTACCTCAGCCCTTTTTATTTTATTTTGGAGAAAAAGTCTTGCTAAATTGTCCAGGCTGGCCTTGATCTTGACATTCTCCTAACATATTCCTGTGTAGTTGTGGGGTTATAGGCATGCACCACCATGCCTGACCCAGAAATGCACATTTATAAACAACCATCTCAAGGTGATTTCTGTTGTACACATATGCTTGTGACCCACCATTGCCAATATCAAATAACATGGTACATAACTCTCAAGTTGAAGCAAAAACAGTAAGTAGATGGGTAGAATGTTCCACACCACTTCCGTGGAGGTATTTTACTATCCCAGCAGACTTGTAGAAAGGAGACAGATGAAGCAACCAGTACCCTAAGGTGAAAGACACACATTGAATCATATACTTCTTATATTTATTATATTCATTTGAGATTAACAATACTCTCAACACTGTAACAGATATACAATAGTGCACGGTTACAACCAGAGGGGAGAGACACAGATGAGATGTAAAACACATTTATAGAGGAATAAAGACACACCTTTGAGTAGATAATTAAACTATTAACGTATGAGGCCACTAATTAAACATGTTTAGTTTGTGTACAATTATACTCTCTGAATATTTATAAGATGCAGGATTTCACTTTAAATGAATTTAAAAATAAGAAACATTGACAAAACATTATTTTTTAGAAAGGAATACATGACAAACAGCCAAGTTATAGCATCATAACTATTGAAATTATAAGGGCAAATTATCCCTGATGCCAAGCTCCAGGAGTAGGTATGAAGTTGGCATCTCCTCTGTGTTCAGTGAACAAAACTGAATTAACAATATCATGAGTCAAACAATGCCCAACAGAAAGCATGGCACCATCAGAGTTTAAGCTTTGAAATTGAATCATTCAATATAATTGTTAGAGAAACAAAACTTCATCTCTGTCCTCTTGGCTTGCTGTATTGGTGACACTGAGTGTGTCGTGCATATTTTTAGATACAATGACTTATAACGAGCATTGACTACATCTCAGTCATGCTGTCATCATTCAATTATATTGCACTTGTATTCTTCAATATCCAAAGTATCTAGAGGTCTACATGTAGGTCACAAACTCAAATGCCTACCAGGGATAGCCAAGCGACAGAAATGAGTTGAAGGTTACCAAATAGTCCCATGCACATCACATCTAAAGGAAGCTGTGGTTATTCACCTTCATTATGTGATGTGGGAAAGTAGACACAGGACTGTCAACTGCCTTTAAGAGATGTTAAAAATCTGGATTTTTATGAAAAATATCCTGATTCATAAATATTAGCAAGATATTCAGTTTTTTAACACTGAAAACCAAACACAATACATGTAGGGGTCAGATCTAATCCCTACAATGGCAGATTTCAACCTCCGATTTAAATGGAATTTCCCGAACATAGAGATCCAAAACAAGAAAGTAGATCAGGAAAGCAAGAGAAGAAGGAAGGTTGAAGCTGGGGAAAGAGGAGAAGAAGATGGTGAAGCGGTGAAGTTTACTTGGATAAAATGGCTGCGTGTCTCTTCCCAGCCTACCCCAGAGTCAAGACTATTTCACAGAACAAGAACACTATGAGAAAGCACAAGCAAATGTTGTTCCAAAACTTTTCCATTACAGATTTTTGTAGATTTTAAGGGGTTTTTTTTAATTTGTACAAAACTCTTGGAGGAAAAATGATATGTCTATAAAAACAGTCACGTTAGCTGATTGTTCTTCCTTTTGATGAGAAAAGATGATTCCAAGAATAACAGAATATTAAATTAGCCAGGGAAATTCTGGTTCCAAATCATAATTTTATGGAGTAAGTATAGCTCTGGGGAATTACACTACTACCTTGGAGTGACATGGTTAATTTGTAGCAAAGCCAACACCAGAACCTATTTTTCCTGACTCCTCCTAAAAGATGCTGGTCTCATTCTAAAATATGTGACATGAAACCAGTAATCAAGTTCAAATGTTCGTAATTTGATGCATTCTGAGCACATGAACACAAGAACATGATGTCAACATTATCAAAGCCCAGAATACGTAAAGATCAAATGAGATCGTATAGAGAGATATGTTGCATCAAAAACTTAGCAAGCACAAGATGCTATTATTTTGTTCCCTTCAAAACATGGACTCCTAACATATGCAGGTATTAAATTGATATTTAATCCAAGTATTAAATTGACAAAATTTGGAGTAAAACTTTAGTGTTTTTTCTACTTTTTAATTTTCTCTTGATTCACTTTTAAAGTCATCAACTAACAGGTGGACAGTAATGAACTTTCCTACTGATGAGTCACATGCTTTATCTGTAAAGAAGAAGACAGAGAAGAAAAAGAGAAAGAGGAAGCCAATGTATGATGAATTTTTAATGGTCACCACTACCAAATTAATAATCCTGTGTCTGATGAAAGCTATGGTTAATAACTATGTGCACCTAATTTCAGGGTCTACCAATGTCTGTCAGGTGTTGTTGTCATAAGACAACAGATTTCCTTAAGTATATTGAAACAAAAGAAGGTTACGTGTGCTGAGGACCAAATAGTGAGCTCTGGCCATTTTTCTAGAGCCCTGATTCTGAAAATCATTGCCTTGAGCTACATTTACCTCCTAAGCTGTGAATCTAAAATAAACTCACCATAGAGATATCTAGGTACAGTGACAATGTAAAACTCCATGGAGTCCGTTTTATTCCATAGGCCAAAGTCTAATTTATATCATACGAAGCAGATTTAGGAACTGCTAGGAATCCTGGCAGGTGGGAGCATTGTAGTTCATAGTTTTTGCTGCCAAATGACAAAAAGATTCATAATTTGATGGAATCATTGGGAGGCGTTGGAAACCTAGAAGGTGGGGCCTCATGGAGATGTATCCTTGGGGATTAAATCCTGGCTGTGGCCCTTTCCCCTCCGTGCCTCCATCCTCTCTCCCTCTCTCTTACCTGGCTGCCATTAGGCGAGCAGCTTTCCTCTGCCACACCCTTCCACCAGGAACTTTCTACCTTGCCCTAGACCTTCAAGCAACACAGCCAATCCACTGTGGAATCTCTGAAGCCATGAGCCAAAATAAAGCTTTCTTCCATTATGCTGATGTCCTCAGGTATCATGTCACAGTGATGGAAAGCTGATGAACCTAAGTGAATTAATGGAATCAATGATGTTTAGTCATACTTCTTCCTGAAGAGAGTGAGTACAGTATTTATAGAGACTCTTAATTTTTAAACATCAAAACAGAAAAATATTCCTTCATTCAAGCTATGTCTGAAAGAGCTGGTAGAGAATACTCTTTCTCATTCAGGAATAAAAAAAGAACCATGTAGCTCTAATTTTTCTGTGGCTTCTGCCTTTATCATTTAGTGCCACGAAACAGTCAAAATATTTTGCTTCCACAATATTCTGCTCACAACTAGTTTTCAAAGAGGTGAGAATAGAAAGACTGAACTTATCCAATCTCATATAAGACCCCACCCTATGAACGAGTTCCATTCTGGGAGAATGTTCCTAAGTCAGGTTGTTCATAAGTCTAACAAAGTGAGTCTTGTACACCTTTGATTCGAGTATACAATGTGTATTGCATTGCACTTCCTGGCAGTCCCCTCCACATCAACACTGCCTTTCCTCTTGCTTCCAGACATCCTGGGCTCTGCTTGAGCCCTGTACTGTTGTTAGGGATAATTTTCAGAAATGAGTAAAATTGAGACTGATCATTGTATTCTGAAAAGTGGAAGGTTGCTGTTTTTCTTGGAACATTCAACAAAGACTACTGTCTCTATGGTTTTCACAAAATGGTACTGAATGGATGACAATTTAAAAAATTATTGTTAGGAATTGACTTTTAATTTATACAACTTGAGTGTCAGAATTTCAAAGTGGCTGAAAGGAGAAATTCTAATGAAAAGAAGAGGGAAACTGAATAGAAAATTTGTTTTCTCTCCCATAGCTAATCTAGCTATTGACAAATCTTATCAGTGAGGTGTTCAAATATATCTTCTCCTCTCACGTAGATTCCTCCCTACCTTTTTTACCTGCTGCCATTCTTGCCTCTTCCTGTTCTTTACTATAAAAAAGTTTTAAAAAAATCTCCTGAAATATAAAACAAATGATATTTTCTCCCAAAGTCCCTTAAGTGGCTTTCCATTACACAGCCCAAATTTCCATGCTGTGGTGTGTAAAGTCCTACATAAGA